CAGCGGAGTAGGTGAGCTTTCCAAGCCCAGATGTTTTGCTTAGCTTGCCCTTCAATGAAGTTCACCTCTTCTACCACGTCACTAGAGACGTTGCTATCAGACATCTTTTCGATTGCGTCATGTATTTCAGCCAGAACTGAAGAAAGTAGGTAACAGCGATCACAGGTTTCTAGATGATCGTGTGGGCAAATGATCTGATAATCCTTGTCCCTAGGGTCGCTTAGTGCATAAGCTCTGCAATGATCTGGAATGCTGGATTGCTTAGAAACATGCACCTGTAAAGACATTAATAAACAAAATTACTCACCCTAGATCAAATGTTACGGTTAAGGTGACTCGCTGGTTTTGCACTGGACATCTCTCACTTGGCATAACAAGACACCCACTGTGAAAGAGAGCTTACAGTAGCAATAAAATGAATTCGATCAAAGAGAAAAGAAATCCATTTAAGTTTTTTCCAAGGTTTTCATCCACCTTCCACGTTCTTGCCATTTTGAAGCTCGCCCCAGTCCTCGCTTAAAGACGGAAGGAATCCAGGTGATGAGCCCTTTCGCAGCTCTACCTCAAAAACGAGCAAAGTGCCCCTTACCGGTCTTTCCAACGGCATTTTTCGTTAGCCGTAGGTTGAACAAAGTAAAATTCTGTGCACTATCCCAAGCTTCATTGAAAAGAAGCGTGATTACTTGTTCACTTTTGTTATACGCACAGTTCATTTGCCTAAATATTCATATTCGTCAGCATGTTACAGTTAAAATGAGCACGGTAACTTCCACTTTTTAAGACGTATTCTTACCTTATTACAACAGCGATCTAAGTTTCATGGAAAATCCATGCATGTTATGTTCAGTTCTTTTTTTAATACTAGGGAATCACCTTAACCGGTTCTGCGCAATTGAAGTATTAGCATTAAGCATTTTTTTAACCAAACGATCACCTCAACTGGTTCTGCGCACCGTTTTATTTCAATAGGCTATTTTTACATTTCTCCTAAATTGAAACTGCGTAGGAGCGACAAATCGCATTAAGCTAAAGTGAAAGTCTGCACGCGCGAGCTTTTTCAAGTAGCGCCAATTAAGCACATAAAAACATTGCTGTTTGAATCATCACCAAAATCCTCTCCTGCTCGTTCCCCAGAGAATCTTGGGTACGTGACTCAAAGACATTTTTGGTATCTTTGACTGGCACAATCGCTAGCTTCAGCTTGTTTATTGTGAAGTCTAATGTTATTGCGATTTTTCTTATATACACAGACTAAAGTTTTTTTGAAGTTTACCTTAAAGTCGCTCTTTAGATAACGCTTTGCGGACTTAAGCCGCTCCTTTTGTTTCCTTGCCCAAGTCATTCCCATAAATGAATCGCCCAATCTATTTACTACGTCATGGAGATCGTCGAAGGCTTGACTACCAGCACAACTTATATAATCTAGACCCTGTAGAGACTTTCTCACAGAGGCAGAACAGACATTGAGAATTCTCAAGAGTGTACTTCGGCTCAGTGTTGTAAAGCCACTTTCACTTGAATAAGCCAAGTACTGCTTGACAATGGACTCTGGCACCATCATACGAATAACATTAGGCACTGTAATGACTTCCTTTGTTGACAGTTTTATTGATTTCTGCCCGAAGGGAAGATCCTGGATGACATGGGTGCTCGTTATAAAGTCCAAAAAATGATCAAGTTGAGTTTGGGATACCGCCATTCGTGTCTGGGATGACT